GCGCAAGAAGTTAAGGATCATAAACAAATATTAACTCCAAAGGGTCACAAGTCAACGGTCACCAGAGCAAACCGGTTTCCAACGCGGGGTCGCCTGTGAACATCATCTGACTAAACTTCAGGCACACACCAGAGAGCAGATGAATCACAACAGAGCTACGGCACTCATCTCGTTGGACTGCAGCCCGGCCTTTGACTGCGTGTCTCACGCGCTGTTACTTCGAAGACTGGAAGAGTACAAATTCCCAGCCCCACTATGCCGTCTGGTCAGAAGCTACCTCAGTGGAAGAACTCTCGTCGTAAGAGTTGGTAATGACTATTCGAACCCATTCGATACAACATGTGGAGTACCTCAAGGGTCTGTGTTGGGGCCATTACTGTTCGTCGTTTTCACGGCGCCAGTAGTGGCACTTAAACATCCAGAAGCGGTGGTAGCAGCCTATGCTGACGATATCGCAGTCTATGCATCCAGCCTTAACGCAGAGAGAGCTCTCATGAAAGCACAGAATGCCACAGATACCATCGTCAAGGAGCTTGAGAAGAACGGCATACAAGTAAATCCTGATAAGACCGATGCCATAGTGATGTCATTTCAGCAAGGAAAGAAGCCCCTGCCCACTCACTTCACCATTGGTGGAGTGGACCAGCGGATCTCCACCTCAGTCCTTTACCTAGGCGTGACTCTGGATAGGCACCTCACATTTACTAGTCACGTCAACCAGAGGCTCAAGCTGGCTCGGAAAAAGGAGTATAGGCTCTACCATCTGCTAAAGTCGACGCAGCTCTCGTTGAGACTAAAACTGCAAATCTACAAGGCGGTCATCAGGCCTACGCTGCTCTATGGCGCACCGTTGCTCCGCCACCTGTATAAGTCCATGCTCAAGAAACTCCAGAGTTATCAAAACTCCATCCTTCGGCGAATAGTCACAGGTACCACCCTGCAAAGGGCAAAGAATGTAAAGATCCGAGAGGAGCTTCAGCTCCCATCGGTGCCTGAGTTCATAGGCCGAAGGCACGTCAAATTTTTCGATGGGCTGAAGGTCTGTGCTAACCCGCTTTTCCAGGAAATAGTACCGCCGCCCAGGCCTGGGAGGTGGCAAGGTAAAGTCCCCTTGATTGATGTTCTCGCCTAGGGAAGGGGTTTGGACTCTGTATTTCACACCCACTAACTATAATGTAAATAATAAATTAATGCAGGGCGGTCCCTCCACGCCCAGTGGTATAATAAAAGGCCTCTGGCCACAGATGCAAAGTACGCATACAGCGTGCATAGCCCTCTTACCTTAAAATGCCCTTGGGCAATAAAAGGTAATTTGAAAATTTATGTATATATACATTTATATATATATATATATATATATATATATATATATATATATATATATATATTGTATTTATAATCAAGAAAAAAAAAAAATTCAACGGTGACAGCGTGTGATAGTTATCGAGTGTTAATTTTTGATGTAGACTTCTCAATGAAGGTTTTCGAACAATATTCAAACGATTTAAAAAAAAATCGAATTGGCAGTGAAGCAAATACACAGAATTACCTTGGAATTTCTAAAATTACCTAAAATTTTAAATGGTTTCCAATGAGCAAAATAAATGTTTTTTTTTTTTTACTAAATCGAGGCCTACTTCTATCCTCTAAAAAAATGAAAAAGCAGTTGAGTCGAAATAAGCCACTATACCATTAAGCCGTTCGCTTAATTAATATTATTATTCATCTACTCCATCCTAGGTAATCGGAAATATTAATGCCAAAGTGTCTCAAGACATCGGTGGCAGACGAAAGCTACTATTGTTGTTGAAGGGTTTTGATCAGTTTTCAAAGATTCAGAAGGATCCGGAAGATTTGTAGTAAGGCAAATGCATAAAGGCCCCTAAAAACCTCCAAAATTATTTAAAATTAAAAACGTTAACCCATAACCAGAAAAAATATTTTATCGTTCAATCGACTTTAGCTCTCATTCTCCAATAAACAGTTAAAAGAAAAAAAAAGAAGAAAATGGAATTAAAATTCTGAATAGTTGATTGATCTTTTTCAGTCAACTATGCACACATTTTTAAACAATTACTTTCATGTGAAAATCTGATCATTAATACCATAGATCTATAGCAAAAAGTGAATATTGAGAATTTTCGGTGAAGAGAAAAATTAAAAAAAATAGTATTAAGTTAATTTTTCCATTAAAAAAAAGTTATCATTATTATAAATTAAAGATTTGTTAAACATCGCGGCCCACCTGTCTAATGGTTCATTGTCGTTTCAAAAAAATGGTTCGACCTATTATTAAAACTTATATTTTTTTAACATTCAAAACTCTTTAAAAAGGTATTGTGGAATGAAAAGGTCAGACTTGTTAAAATGTTAGACGGAAATGTCGCTTCTTTTAGTTCTCAAAGTTTTTCGGAGAATATTAACATTTAAGAAGAATATTTAAAAAAATAAATACAAAATAACTAAATGGAATTATTCAACAATTAGAAATTTTTACCAAGATCCACTTCTACAATCTCTACTATTCCTTGAGTTCAAATAAGTGATTTAAAATTTCCTCGCCTTTTAGGCTATACGTGATTTTCCCGGGACAGGGTGTGAGGGCGGAGGGTTAATACCAGAGTCAAATGACCCTCTCGGCACGTGAGTAGATAGGAAATGGGGCAGCTGGCACACCGATTGCTCCATCCCCTCCACCCAGCCTTAAGTACCACGTGGTCGGCGGTCCGGCCAGCCTTAACCACCACGTGGTCGGCCGTCCTGTCAGCCTTAACCACCACGTGGTCAGTCACGTGACCCTTAGGCCACGCCCACTTTTATTTTATCCCCATCTTAACCACCTAGCCACGCCCATTTTCGATAGTGCGACCTCCACATTTTACCCCCCCACTCCTCTTAAAGAGGCTGAGTGTGCTCGGCCGCCATCTTGTTTTCTGATACCAGGTTTTCTTCTTGTATGACGTCATGAGACCCTTTTCGGTTCTGCGACCTCCACATTTTCCCCCCACTCTTCCCTCGGAGGCTGAGTGTACCCGACCACCATTTTGCTTTCTGATACGAGGTTTTCTTCTTGTATGACGTCATGAGACCCTTTTTGATCGTGTACCTCCCACCTTTACTCCTCACTCTTCCCTCGGAGGCTGAGTGTGCCCGGCCGCCATCTTGTTTTCTAATACGAGGTTTTCTTCTTGTATGACGTCATGAGACCCTTTTTTATCGTGTACCTCCTACCTTTACTCCTCACCCCTCTCTCGGAGGCTGAGTGTGCCCGGCCGCCATTTTGTTTTCTGATACGAGGTTTTCTTCTTGTATGACGTCATGAGACCCTTTTTGATCGTGTACCTCCCACCTTTACTCCTCACTCTACCCATGGAGGCTGAGTGTGCCCGGCCGCTATCTTGTTTTCTGATACGAGTTTTCTTCTTGTATGACGTCATGAGACCCTTTTTGATCGTGTACCTCCCACCTTTACTCCTCACTCTTCCCTCGGAGGCTGAGTGTGTCCGGCCGCCATCTTGTTTTCTGATACGAGGTTTTCTTCTTGTATGACGTCATCAGACCCTTTTCGGTCGTGCGACCACCACATTTTCCCCCCACTCCTCTATAAAAGACTGAATATGCCCGGCCGCCATTTTGTTTTTACTGCAATTTGAGAAACTTAGGGCGTTGTTCGCCATTTTGTTTTTTCTATATCCTTCCTAATGTTTATCTTTTGTATAACCTTCTTATTGTTTTACATTTTCAGTGTCACATGATCAGTCACGTGACCATACCCTCATAAATGAATTTGTAGCGTAACAAAGTAAACCTTCTGGTATTCTTAGGAGAAAGTATGATCACCACTGCGCTCCAACTCCCTGATTTCCACCAACCAGCTACTCATTTTAGAGTTCAATGGACTCATGAAACATATCTTTATCTTGATTCCCATCCATACGAAACCCGCTAATGTTTTGTCCACTGTAAATGTTTTGATAATATCCTCCATGGAACTTTTCATGAAATCTTTGCTTTTCATAACACGAACTGTACATTGATGGACACTGGTCCATTTTAATGAAAATATTGTTAATATTATCTGTGATCAAATAAGATCAAAGTACCATATCATTAACAGTCAACTCATCATAAAATAGAACGATATAGAAAGATCTAATTAGGAATTATCGCTTCAAAAAAAAACAAGTTATTGGATTTCTCTAGAGCGTATGAAGAAATTTAAATATGCTTATATATATATATATATATATATATATATATATATATATATATATATAATTATTATTTATTTAATGCGAGAAAGTTATGAACTAAGAAGAAAAAAGTTAGATTAAATATGAATACTGTAAAACATGTAAACATTGTGAAGAATATGCTGCCGTTGGGGAGGTAAGTAGATACTCTTCATTGGATTAGTGAAATTATGTAACCATCAGAATGGTTACAAAAATTTAAAACATTTAGAAGCTAACAGCCTATGGGGTGGACACCTTGCCCTTCAAATAGTAATGTAACTAAAACATTTTTGTAAAGTTAATAAGTGTAAAACACACACACACACACACACACAAAGTAACTAAAGATTTTAAGATGTCTTAGGTCCCATATTATGGTTTATTTTTCAAGGATTAATTATTCAAAGATTAATGTTTATTTATAACGAAAGTCATTATATGTTCAAGATTCATGTTTCCACTGCATATCTACAGAAAATGTAAACAATGGGAGCTGGTCAGCGAGACCATCGGACATAGCCAGGAGGAACTTCAAGTTGTCTAAAATGTAAATATCAAGTTTGATTAGCGAGACCATCGGGTATAGCCGGGATGAACTTCAAGTTGTCTAAAATGTAAATATCGAGTTTGATCAGCGAGACCATCGGACATAGCCGGGAAGAACTTCAAGTTGTCTAAAATATAAATATCGAGTTTGATCAGCGAGACCATCGGATATAGCCGGGAAGAACTTCAAATTGTCTAAAATGTAAATATGGAGTTTGATCAGCGAGATCATCGGACATAGCCGGGAAGAACTTCCATATGTGTAAGATGTAAACATTGGAAACTAAAGAGAAAAATGTGAAAAAAATAAAGATAAATATATAAAATTGGAAGGTTACATCTAATAAGGTGAGTACCCGATCTCTCATATTGTTAGATAATAAACTCTAGAAAGACTATGCAGACAGAATGGCGATAAAGAAAATGCATGGATTCGAAGAATTCTTGTCAGAAACGTTCAGCTATTATGACATGGGCACTTGAGGCTTCAACGGATTGAAGTATAAACATGGTTAATGTTAAAAACTATTGCTTAGAAAAATATGTGAAGCAAGTATAATGTCGGTACTTGCCCCTTCAGAAGATAATGTAAACATTGGGAAATAAAATGTGAACAAGCTAGAGAGAGAAATCATAATATGGAGTAGTAAATAAGCTATAGAAATATCCAACTGGACTACGTATCGCAATCTAGTAACTTAGAACGTGACTAATTTTTTTTTTCAAATAGTTATAACGGTAAGAGACACGTAAATGTTTGCATCCAGGAACCGTTTCTAAAAAGATTGCAATTATCTGAGCTACAAAATAATGAAGTGTTAACACTCGTTCCAGACGATCAGAGACTTAATCTGTATGAAACAGCTTTTCAAAACCGATTGGTATCATTATTCATTAGATCGCCGGATTGTATGGATATGAACTCATTTCTGGAAAGTATTAAAAAACCTCTTAGCGGATAAAATTCGAGATTTACTACATCAACATTGCGCATTTAAAGTAAATTTCCAATTAGAATGTACTTTTACAAATTCTATTGGTGATAAGACTGATAGAGCTTTCAAAACATGAAACAAATGTGTATTTAAAAGTAGCGATTTATTCAGAAAAGTTTCATCAAAAATTGTACCCGAAGCAGAGAAGTATCAATTTAAAAAAAACAAAACAAAAAAAAAACAAAGCGGGTGGAAGCTAAGTAGAGTTGACGGGATCAGATTGAGAATCAACAAATATTTACCGGTGAGGGGATATACATATCTTCCTCTCCCGGCATCTATAGTTTTGAAGAAAGCTTGCACTAATGTGCGTGATAATGACATGTACTGTTTTAAGTATTCTATTTTAGTGAAATGTGTGGAAAAGGATGCTCAACGTGTTACTAAGTATAACAATTTAGAACGTTTGAATAATTTTAATTGTATTTCATTCCCAACTTCTCTCAACGAAATAACTAAATTCGAAAAGATAAATGATATACCTATCAATGTTTATGGTCTGGATGAAAAAAAAAAAATTATATATCCTATGAAAGTCTGCAAAACAGAATTGAAAGACCATCGGGATCTTTTACTCCTATCTGATGACCAAACTTCCCATTATGTTCACAAAAAGAATTTTGAAAAATTAGCCGGAAATCAAATTAATCATCATGGGCATAAAATAACGATTTGCAAGCGCTGTTTCAAACATTTCGATAATCGGTATAAGAAACGAGCAAGTGAAAAAAAAAAAACTTGAAGAACATAAAATATATTGCTCTGAAAACAAAACCGATAAGAATAGAGTTACCGACGAAAGATCCTTTTATCAGATTCTCAAATGAGGAGCGGCAAAGTAAAGAACCGTTTGTCATCTATGCTGACTTCGAATCCGTATTAGTTCCTATAAATGAATGGTCAGTAAATACAATCAAAATATCAGAGGCGTGTGCCGATATCGTTTTGCATATATGTTAAAGGAATGGAAGGAGTAGACATTCCGATAAAAGAACCATACGTTTATAAAGGTCCAATGCCGCTTCTCACTTTATGGAATGTATTACAGAGATAGCAAACAAAATTCACGAGATTTATATGATAAACAAACCAATGCGGATCTCATCAGAAGAAGAGCAAGATTACACAAGAAAAAAAAAACACCCATAAAAATGAATTGAAAGGTTAAATGAAATTTACTTATGCGTTTCCAGAGATGTTGCAGTCATCCACTTAACAATACCGAATGAGGTAGAGCTCCGAAAAGCATGTCTATTTATATACCGGTATGTTGATGTTTTAGTGATTAAATGTTCAAAGTCTATTGTTTATAATGAGATAAGTAAGGAATAAAAACATTGTTTACATGAGTAGGAGAAGAATAATCGATAAGGGATTAAAATAACAAAGTCCATGTTTATGTTTAAAGGCGATCAATAAGAAATAAGGATTTCATAAAAGGACTAATGAAAATACTATATAGAATAACAAATTAGCTACAGTGACGTTACTGATCACGTGACACTGAAAAGGTAAACATTAAAAAGGTTATATAAAAGATAAACATTAGGAAGGTTGCAGGAAATCAAAATGGCTGATAAAACCCTAAGTCTCTCAAATTGCAGTAACACAAAATAGTAGCCGGGTACACTCAGCCTCTTAGTGAGGGGATGTGAGAGTTGCATGATCGAGAGTTGCATGTGGGGGTCGAGAAAGGGTCTCGTGACGTCATACAAGGCGTAAACCTCGTAAGTACCTAAAAACAAGATGACGGCCGGGCACACTCAGCCTCTTAGAGAGGATTGAGGAGAAAATGTGGAGGTCGCAGGATCGAAAAGGTTATATGGAATATAAACATTAGGAAGGATACAATAAAAAACTGACAGTGGTCACTTGATTGATCACGTGACACTGAAAAGGTAAACATTGAGAAGGTTATACAAAAGATTAATATTAGAAAGGTTATAATATAAAAGATAAACATTAGGAAGGTTACAGAAAAAATAGGGTATGGTCACGTTACCAATCACGTGACTATGAAAAATGTAAACATTAAAAAGGTTATATAAAATATAAACATTAGGAAGGTTACAGGGAAAAATGAGGGTATGGTCACGTGACTGATCATGTGACACTGAAAATGTAAAACAATAAGAAGGTTATACAAAAGATAAACATTAGGAAGGATATAGAAAAAACAAAATGGCGAACAACGCCCTAAGTTTCTCAAATTGCAGTAAAAACAAAATGGCGGCCGGGCATATTCAGTCTTTTATAGAGGAGTGGGGGGAAAATGTGGTGGTCGCACGACCGAAAAGGGTCTGATGACGTCATACAAGAACATAACCTCGTATCAGTAAAAGAAGTGGTGGCCGGTCACACTCAGCCTCCGAGAGAGGGGTGAGGAGTAAAGGTAGGAGGTACACGATCAAAAAGGGTCTCATGACGTCATACAAGAAGAAAACCTCGTATCAGAAAACAAGATAGCGGCCGGGCACACTCAGCCTCCATGGGTAGAGTGAGGAGTAAAGGTGGGAGGTACACGATCAAAAAGAGTCTCATGACGTCATACAAGAAGAAAACCTCGTATCAGAAAACAAGATGGCGGCCGGGCACACTCAGCCTCCGAGGAAAGAGTGAGGAGTAAAGGTGGGAGGTACACGATCAAAAAGGACTCATGACGTCATACAAGCAGAAAACCTCGTATCAGAAAACAAGATGGCGGCCGGGCACACTCAGCCTCCATGGGTAGAGTGAGGAGTAAAGGTGGGAGGTACACGATCAAAAAAGGTCTCGTGACGTCATACAAGAAACATCGTATCAGAATACAAGATGGCGGCCGGGCACACTCAGCCTTCGAGAGAGGGCTGAGGAGTAAAGGTGGGAGGTACACGATCAAAAAGGGTCTCATGACGTCATACAAGAAGAAAACCTCGTATCAGAAAACAAGATGGCGGCCGGGCACACTCAGCCTCCGAGGGAAGAGTGAGGAGTAAAGGTGGGAGGTACACGATCAAAAAGGGTCTCATGACGTCATACAAGAAGAAAACCTCGTATCTGAAAATAAGATGGCGGCCGGGCACACTCAACCTCTGAGGGAATGAGTGTGGGGGGATGTAGAGGTCACACGATCGAAAAGGGTCTCATGACGTCATAAAAGAACATAACCTCGTATCAGAAAACAAGATGGCGGCCGGGCACACTCAGCTTCAGAGGGAAGAGTGGAGGGAAAATGTAGAGGTCGCACGATCGAAAAGGGTCTCATGACGTCATACAAGAACATAACCTCGTATCAGAAAACGAGATGGTGGCCGGGCACACTCAGCCTCCGAGAGAGGGGTGAGGAGTAAAGGTGGGAGGTACACGATCAAAAAGGGTCTCATGACGTCATACAAGAAGAAAACCTCGTATCAGAAAACAAGATGGCGGCCGGGCACACTCAGCCTCCGAGGGAAGAGTGAGGAGTAAAGGTGGGAGGTACACGATCAAAAAGGGTCTCATGACGTCATACAAGAAGAAAACCTCGTATCAGAAAACAAAATGGCGGTCGGGTACACTCAGCCTCCGAGGGAAGAGTGGGGGGAAAATGTGGAGGTCGCAGGACCGAAAAGGATCTCATGACGTCATACAAGAAGAAAACCTGGTATCAGAAAACAAGATGGCGGCCGGGCACGCTCAGCCTCTTTAAGAGGAGTGGGGGGAAAATGTGGAGGTCGCACGATCGAAAAGGGGCGTGGCTAATGGTCACGTGACTGATCACGTGACTAAAAGGGACGTGGCTAGGTGGTTAAGATAGGAATAAAATAAAAGTGGGCGTGGCCTAAGGGTCACGTGGTGGTTAAGGCTGACAGGACGGCCGACCACGTGGTGGTTAAGGCTGGCCGGACCGCCGACCACGTGGTACTTAAGGCTGGGTGGAGGGGATGGAGCAATCGGTGTGCCAGCTCCCCCATTTCCTATCTACTCACGTGGGCTCAAAATCATATCTATTTGTTCATTTATAACTTCGGTTATCAGGTTGCCAGGCAACGCGGGGTGCTGTTTACACGCTCTAGCCCGCTCGGCCATCCCCCTCTCTTCCCCATCCTTTTCTTTTTTTTTTTTTTTTATCACCCTACCTGGCCATTTCTAGAATACGGGGTTCCTCTCCGCCATCCGCCGTCCGCGGTTTTTCTTCGAGACTATTGGATCGATTTTTTTCAAATCTGGAATCAAAGTCAGAGGTCACCCGAGGATGATCCTCCTATCTCAACATTAGTATACGCTATATCCTTCCAAGATGGCGGCCGAAAAATCTGAGTTGGTATAGACTGTAGCACCTAAACGAATGCACCAATTTCAATGAAACTTGACTGAAGACGTCTCATCGATGACGTTTAAATTTACCTATACAACGTATTTCAACGAAAAAAACTTTAAAAAAACTTACGAGGGGTGTAAAATCAGATTTCCGAATAACTCAAGAAGTTCTTCTTCTTCTTAATCAATTCCTCCTCTCCGTTAGATCAGTGTAGATGATCCAGTTTGTAGAGCCTGATCCATTTATCTTGTTCTTGCACCAGCAGACTGCGTCTCAAGAAGTTATGTATGTTTTTTAAAAAGTTATTGAAATGTCCTAAAAAAAAAAAAAAAAAAATCGTTATTTAACGTTTGCAATTTAACACTTTGTTTTGTATAT